TAGTCTAAGGTCTTTTGGGATTTAAAGCAGTGTTGGTAGTACAAAAATAATGCAGCCTTAGTCACCTTACCTCTCTCCATGTAGTACATTGGGTCCCACCAGTCAGAGGGTGAAACAAACAAATTAATAAGAAAAGTTAAAAGCACCGGCGGTGTATCTTACCTCACACATCTCGCTACTGCTCGTGAACACTGTCCAATTGATCCCTTTGTTCGCTCACGTACTATATTAAGTGAATCCTTATTATAACATGCACACAATTTTGGGCACTTGTATTCGACCTAAGTCAGTGTGCCACCGTATCTCGTACTACTCCCTTCGTTTAAGTGTAATAAGTCACGTTAGAAGGTGCAGCGGGACCAAGGTGCAAGCAGATTGGAGGAGAAGGAGAAACTTGACTAGTCCTTTCTCCAATCAAAGCCCTGATTTCTGTCTCTAAACGCAACAGTTAATCCCAACAACTAAGAGATGCCATTTTAGCTACCATGTAGGGCCACGTATTAACTCGCATGCAAGCCGACTTTGATTTCTTGACTGATCAACGCATAGTTGCGTTCCATGCATTGGGTTTCCGGGGGAGATAACAAGGCGGAGTAAGGAGCATTTGGTTACATTGCTTAGGCTGGTCATAGTGGTGAGTAACTTGGACTAGTAACATTGCATATGTTACTAGTCTATGTTACTACTACGCGAAGTTTACCGTCGGAAGTGAGCCGATCTGGCTCTCCTGAGCTAGCAAGGTTTTTCTAGCCCACCCAAGCTAGCTGGCCCATAAAAGCTAACAAATGTTAACAGTTCCAAACCTCTCCACTCAAACAGGTACTATGCTCTTTGTTGATGTTTTTAACGCCGATATTGAACTCCTCTTTGGTCTTAAGGTGAACACTTTCTAGAGTTACCTTAGACTTTTTGATACAGATTCTCATGGAAGAATGTTCTCGCAAAGCAGGGGATAAGCCGACACAGAATAAAGGAAATATTGATTATTCTTACAAGGTTTCTTAACTAATTGTTTTCCGCAAGAAGCATTGTATATTTTGAGAGACATTCAGGTGTTTACGAAAGATATCAATATAAAGAAAAGGTGTTTTATTGTAAGTGTTAAGTCTGATTTGTTAGAAATAAGTTAAAGTTAACAAATCGATAGGAATATTGTATGCTTAAGCATAGAGCAAATTATATAGTCATTTGTTAAGTAAGGACAATTAATTTAAGCTTATTGTCATACCATCTTATGATTCATGAAAGAAGAGGTTGAAACTACTGTACCCTCTCATAGCTGCACAAACCTCCGTTGTCATAATAGATTGTGCACTAGGTACATAAAGTGTAGATTCAGTAGGAAATATACTTTCTTCGCTATATCCAAACGAGCTTAGGCGAGATAGATGGAACTTTACCTCAGTTCTGTTGTATCATCCATTCAGGGTATGAAAACCACCAGGAATCCGTAGCGGAAGAAATTAGCAAGGAAATGAAGTAGTTTTCATTCGTGACAATGGTCGGAGGGTGGAGTTGGATGGAATTGTTGAGAGATGGGTAATTCTGACCATCAACCAATCTGTTTGGACGAACCACCTTGCGTGTGTTTCAGATAGAAATCCAGAGCATGAACAAGTTTTGCTCCTTCTGTGACCAGGTGCCGGAGGATATGCTTCACATCATGATTGGGTGCTCCTCGTGAAAAATTTCACACGACATTGTTGGCTTGGTGTCATTCCACAGTTGCACCTCCCTTCACTACAATAGTATGCCTGATCTGGTGTGCGACTTCTCGCTCCAACTTCCCTCCGGCTCAACGTCGCGCCATCTCTTCCATCATCATCCTCATGGCTTGGCAAATCTAGAAGCATCGAAATGGATGTATCTTCGACGCCGCTTGCCCTTCCATTGGTCGTCTAGTGCAGATCATCCAGGATGATGTGCACTGCTATGCTAGAGCAGGCGCCACCGGATTAGATCTCACGTAGTGCCCTAGAGATAGACTTTGTGCTTGGGCTGAGCACCCAATCATGTGCTTCGGACATCGCCCACACACATCCTTGTGTACGTGTTTGTGATGTAACCCATAACCGAATTTTTTTCTCACTTTTCTATAATGGAAAGATACGCAAATTCCGCATGTTTATGTAGAAACAAATTGTTAAAAGAAAGGGAAACGTTTTACGTCGGTGCACCGGCCGAAGTTAGCGCCGGTCTGACGCGGGACGTTGGATCGATCTGGATTAAAACGGGTAGAGCCGTATCACGCGCTTTATGGCCCCACCCACGACACCTTATCTTCTCAGCGTCTCTCTCCTCCACTCGTTTCCTCCGCACTTGAACGCAATCCCCTCATCCTCTCTTCTTTCCCAACGAGAGCACATGTCCATGGCTACTCCTGGTAGCCTCCAACCTCATGCCGCCTCCTCCCCCCAGATGGCTGCTACATCCATTCACGTCGGAGCTGCGCCCCTCGACGCCGGCGACCTTGTTTTTGCTCCAGCCGGGCGAAGACCAGCAACATGCTTTTTGCTACAACCGACTTCGCTTTTTGCTACTTCTGCCTTTCTTTTTTGCTACAACCGAGGCTGACCGCAGGCGGCAAGCATGGTGACCACGGGCGGCGAGGATAGGATCGCGGGATTTTTGCTACATGCTACAACCGGCGTTGCAATTTGCTACTACCGGCATCCAATCCGGCTGCAACCGGCATCGCGGTTTGCTACATCGCACAACGATATTTTGATTTTTGCTACAATCAGCATCATGTTTTGCTACAAACATACTGCAAAATGCTACAACCGGCATGGAAGAAAGCTTCAACCCCATGAAAAAAAAGCTTCAATGGATGTGGAAAAAAGCTTCAATAACAAAAAAAGCTTCAACTGGTGTGTGGAAAAGCTTCAACCGGCAAATGAGGAAGCTCCAAACTATAGAAAAAGCTTCAATCGATGTGAAAAAAAGCTTCAAACCATGAAAAAAGTTTCAACCGAAGCGAAAAAAGCTTCAACTAGAGTTTAAAAAAGCTTCAACCGAGGGGAAGAGGCTGTGCACGCACGAGCGTCGACAGCGAAGAGCGGCGAACGGCGAGGGGAGAGGGCGTTGGGTGCTGCGACGAGCGGCGACGACAGGGAGAGGATGCGGGTGCTCGCGGGGCAGGAGGACGGAGGCGCGCGGGATCGAGGCTTGTGGGGAACGGAGGTTGAAGATGAAGTCAAAGAAGGATAAGATGCCAGATCTGACGGCTATTGGGGCCAGATCGAACGGCTGCGGCCGGACCGGCCAAAAATTCGGCCGGCGTGCCGGCGCAGAGTGCTGGCCTAAAAGAAAAGAGAGATGGAAAGAAGGGAGGAGAGGGGCTAGAGAGAGTCGGGGAAACAGATGAATGAATACTAGTAGTACACTGAAATCTCTCGATCTCACCCATCTTTCTACCCCTCTCCCTCCCTCCCTCCCCCTCTCACGGGCTGCACGCTGCCTCGCTCCGACCGACCGCCACGCCCTCACATCCCCATCTCCATCTCTCTCCGCGTTGCTCTGCCTCTGCCACCGCTTCACCCGCGCGCGGTCGGGCTCCTAGCTAGCTGCTGCCTCTTCTCCCCTTGATGTGGCGCCGGGCGCCGAGCTGCTGCTGCTCGCGCACCAGAGGCGCCGGAGGCGAGCTCCTCGGACGCCTGGCGGCCTAGCCTCCTCGCGCTCCTACAAGAGGGAGATCCGGGCTTTCTTGGTAAGCTCTGTCCCCGGCCATGTCCTAATTCCCGATCAATCTGCCTGATCCCGCCCGATTCCGTTCCCTGCACGCGTGCTCGCGCTAGATTAGTGGTCAGCGCAAGTTCGCTCCGTCGCTGCTCCTGACTTCTTAGTGTAGACTAGTGTCCATGGTGGACTGTCGGGCTGCGACGCCATTTGCGGTTCCATCTCCCACTCCCGGGGTGGTTGGGCCGCCGCTTTTGACAGAGAAAAGCTTCGCGGCAAGCGTGGACTAAAATGCGCGCAAGCATGGTGTTTAACCACAGGCTTAGCTGGCGGCTTTGTGCGTGCGTCTATCTCGTTTGGCCGGATCGTTGCGTGCCGACTGGTTCAGCCCGCTGTGCCAAGCAGGTCACGAGTAGTTACAAGATCGTGATCTCATCATGATGCAATGCGGTCACAATATCTCTTAGGGTAGAGATGGCAAAACATGCCTCATATTAGTTTTAAATTTATGTGATTTTGTGCTGGATTGCATTCAAGTAACTCACTCAGTCAATGCTGGTACTCATGGGTTTTCAATGCATATGGAATATCCATTGTTTAGGCTTTCATTACTGCATGCATATATGTTCTCCTCTAGGTGAACAGGGTCGTAGTTGGTTCTTTTTTGTTAAAAAAGGGCAGCCCCAGTGCATGTAGCTCCCGCTTGCGCAGGGTCTGGGGAAGGGTCCGACCACTTTGGGTCTATTGTACGCAGCCTTTCCCTACATTTCTGTAAGAGGCTGTTTCCAGGACTTGAACCCGTGACCTCATGGTCACAAGGCCATTGGTTCTTTTTTGTTGTGAACTTAAAAATGAAATAATGGTGGTACGAGAACCTTGTTTACAAATTGTCGAATGCAGCCGGTCCTTCTAGAGTATACGTATTTTCAGTGAGATGTTCCTAACATGTTTGTATACCAACTTCCGAATACTTCCGTGAAGAAGAAAGTATTGCATACACCAGATCCTTCTAATTTCTACCTATATCCAGTGAAGTGCTCAATACGTGTGTATGACATGCTTATCTACCAACTTGCAAACATTTCCTTTTTATTTTCTTAATTCGTATACATTCTTTGGAGCAACTTGTGAATACTTTCTGAAAGTAGAATTTGTCGTATACACGTAATGCATCTATGTTCTGCGCGGTTCTGGTACAACATGCTTGTGATATACTTCTCTACCAATTTCGATCACCTTCTAAAAATATCTAATCTTTTAGTTAAGTGTTTGGTGGGGCCGTGTGACCCCACGGGACCCAAAGTGGATCCACTCTGGCGGAAATGGAGTCGGGGAGCACATTCTATGCGGGTGAAGGTCTTCACATTGATCCCAGCTGGCTCATTGACCCAAAGCTTCTCTTTGTTGGGCCACGGATCGGTGAGGGTGGACATGCAAAGGTCTACGAGGGGAAGTAAGGCTCGTCTGTTTACACTACGATGTACGATCTACAATTTGCTGATTTGTATGAGTTGTTTGCTTATAATTATCTCTCAGTTGATGATTCATGATGATGGGGTTCGTAGGTACAAGAACCAAAATGTTGCTATCAAGATTGTGCACAAAGGGGACACCCCTGAAGAGGTCATCAAGAGGCAGGGTAGGTTCTTGAGAGAGGTGACCATGCTGTCAAGGGTGCAGCACAAGAACCTTGTCAAGGTTCGCTTCTTTGCTGACTACTATCATTCTTTCATTGGCTGGAAGCGTTGGGTGCTTTTGGATATTGAAAACTATATCTGCCTGTTGTTCAGTTTATTGGAGCTTGCCTAGAGCCTGTCATGGTGGTGGTGACTGAGCTATTAGTGGGGGGCTCTTTGCGGAAGTATTTGGTCAGCTTACGGCCTAGGAACCTGGAGCCTCGTGTAGCAGTTGGATTTGCATTGGACATCGCCCGAGCCATGGAATGTTTGCATGCACATGGGATCATTCATCGTGATCTTAAACCTGGTAAGAAACCTGGTAAGATTTTCCATTTTGCATTTGAATACTAGGTGAATTTCTGCAAAGAGGATAGTGGCTTTCCTTCTGTCCATATATACCCTGATTTCCCCCTCTTTCCTGTGAAGTCAATTTATGCAGTACGCTATACGCGCCACTTTAATGTTCATAATAGTGCACGTTAAGTCTCATATTGTATAAGCAATGTGTACACGCATGGGTACATTTGAGGTGTCGTACTGTTACTTTTACCGTTGGCATAGCAATGCATTGGATTTCTTTCAAGTTTGTGCTGAATTCTGCCTTCAGAACCAAGTTAAGGGGATGTTAGGAAGTTAATTAAACAAGTGACCAGTGGCGCATGACTTTCTTGTTCCCATTAGCCCATGCTCTGTTGTGTTAGCAATGTCTGTGTTCACGAGCTAGTCTTACTATGGGACCAGTGCACCTGGAAATTTTACACAAACATCACTAGTTGTGTGTGCGAAGAACACAAGCGCGGGGAAGCATGTAGTGTATGCACTTCTGGGTGATATACCTACTAAATACTATAGTTTATGGTCACAAATTAAGCATAAGTGTCCATACATATTGAGATGTTGAAGCATTTATAGCCTCAATGTACAGTGCAACAAGTAGCAAGAATAATTACCCAAGTAGCCTGATCTTATTCTATGAATAGTGAAATTTATTGGATCAATGTGCAAAGTGCACACCTTCTAAGTTATAAATGTGTGTGACTTCTGTAATTTATTCCTTAGTACTGTATGTGTTCTGATTCCACCTCTTAATATTATGATTTCTATGCACGTGCATTGGCTGATCGAATATCTTTTACTTTATCATCAGAGAAACTAAGATATCACACACTTAATAAATAGCTTGCACTTATAACTATAACCAGGAAACAATGCCTCAGCGTTGGTGACATAGGTGTCGGGATCCGACTTGGATTCAGGTGTTCTAGTCAGATGAAGGTTGCTAAACATGGATATGGGTGTAGGATTCCAGTCAGATTTGTGTTTCCGGTTCGGCAAAAGCAAAATTAGGACAGGGAGACAGATCTTGACTGACTCAACTGAGCGTCAAGATTTGTTGGATCTTCAACAACAACAACAACAACAACAACAAAGCCTTTAGTCCCAAGCAAGTTGGGGTAGGCTAGAGATGAAACCCATAAGATCTCGCAACCAACTCATGGCTCTGGCACATGGATAGCAAGCTTCCATGCACCCCTGTCCATAGCTAGCTCTTCGGTGATACCCCAATCCTTCAGGTCTCTCTTAACGGACTCCTCCCATGTCAAATTCGGTCTACCCCGCCCTCTCTTGACATTCTCCGCACGCTTTAGCCATCCGCTATGCACTGGAGCTTCTGGAGGCCTGCGCTGGATATGCCCAAACCATCTCAGACGATGTTGGACAAGCTTCTCTTCAATTGGTGCTACCCCAACTCTATCTCGTATATCATCATTCCGGACTCGATCCTTCCTCGTGTGGCCACACATCCATCTCAACATACGCATCTCCGCCACACCTAACTGTTGAACATGTCGCCTTTTAGTCGGCCAACACTCAGCGCCATACAACATTGCGGGTCGAACCGCCGTCCTGTAGAACTTGCCTTTTAGCTTTTGTGGCACTCTCTTGTCACAGAGAATGCCAGAAGCTTGGCGCCACTTCATCCATCCGGCTTTGATCCGATGGTTCACATCTTCATCAATACCCCCATCCTCCTGCAGCATTGACCCCAAATACCGAAAGGTGTCCTTCCGAGGTACCACCTGACCATCAAGGCTAACCTCCTCCTCCTCACACTTAGTAGTACTGAAACCGCACATCATGTACTCGGTTTTAGTCCTACTAAGCCTAAACCCTTTCGATTCCAAGGTTTGTCTCCATAACTCTAACTTCCTATTTACCCCCGCCCGACTATCGTCAACTAGCACCACATCATCCGCAAAGAGCATACACCATGGGATATCTCCTTGTATATATCCCTTGTGACCTCATCCATCACCAATGCAAAAAGATAAGGGCTCAAAGCTGACCCCTGATGCAGTCCTATCTTAATCGGGAAGTCATCAGTGTCGACATCACTTGTTCGAACACTTGTCACAACATTATCGTACATGTCCTTGATGAGGGTAATGTACTTTGCTGGGACTTTGTGTTTCTCCAAGGCCCACCACATGACATTCCGCGGTATCTTATCATAGGCCTTCTCCAAGTCAATGAACACCATATGCAAGTCCTTCTTTTGCTCCCTATATCTCTCCATAAGCTGTCGTACCAAGAAAATGGCTTCCATGGTCGACCTCCCAGGCATGAAACCAAACTGGTTTTTGGTCACGCTTGTCATTCTTCTTAAGCGGTGCTCAATGACTCTCTCCCATAGCTTCATTGTATGGCTCATCAGCTTAATTCCACGGTAATTAGTACAACTCTGAACATCCCCCTTGTTCTTGAAGATTGGTACTAATATACTCCGTCTCCATTCTTCTGGCATCTTGTTTGCCCGAAAAATGAGATTGAAAAGCCTGGTTAGCCATACTATCGCTATGTCCCCGAGACCTTTCCACACCTCAACGGGGATACAATCCGGGCCCATCGCCTTGCCTCCCTTCATCCTTTTTAAAGCCTCCTTGACCTCAGACTCCTGGATTCGACGCACAAAACGCATGCTGGTCTCATCAGAAGAGTCGTCCAGCTCAATGGTAGAGCTTTCATTCTCCCCATTGAACAGCTTGTCGAAGTACTCCCGCCATCTATGCTTAATCTCCTTGTCCTTCACCAAGAGTTGGCCTGCTCCGTCCTTGATGCATTTGACTTGGCCAATATCCCTCGTCTTCCTCTCTCGGATCTTGGCCATCTTATAGATGTCCCTTTCGCCTTCCTTCGTGCCTAACCGTTGGTAGAGGTCCTCATACGCCCGACCCCTTGCTTCACCAACAGCTCGCTTTGCGGCCTTCTTCGCCATCTTGTACTTCTCTATGTTGTGTGCACTCCTATCCAGGTATAGGCGTCTAAAGCAATCTTTCTTCTCTTTAATCGCCTTCTGGACATCATCATTCCACCACCAGGTATCCTTATCTTCGCTTCTCCTTCCCCTGGACACTCCAAACCTCCTCTGAGGCCACCTTACGAATGCAAGTCGCCATCTTCATCCACACATTGTCCGCATCCCCTCCTTCCTCCCAAGGGCCCTCCTTAATGACCCTCTCCTTGAACGCCTGAGCTACCTCCCCCTTGAGCTTCCACCACTTCGTTCTAGCGACTTTAGCCCGCTTATCCCGCTGGACACGAATCCGAAAGCGGAAGTCAGCAACCACCAGCTTATGCTGGGGTACAACACTCTCTCCAGGTATCACCTTACAGTCTAGGCACGCACGCCTGTGTTCCCTTCTTGAGAGGATGAAATCAATCTGGCTAGAGTGTTGGCCACTACTAAAAGTAACCAGATGTGATTCTCTCTTTCTAAAGAGGGTGTTGGCTACAATCATGTTGTAGGCTAGAGCAAAGCTTAAGACATCTTCTCCTTCTTGATTCCTGATGCCATAGCCAAAGCCCCCATGCGCCCCTTCAAAACCTGTGTTAGATGTACCCACGTGGCCATTGAGGTCTCCTCCTATGAAGAGCTTCTCACCAATCGGTACACTCCTAACCATGTCTTCCAGGCCTTCCCAGAACTCCCTCTTGGTGTTCTCATTGTGGCCTACTTGCGGGGCATACGCGCTGATAACATTGAGAACCAAGTCCTCAACTACCAGCTTGACCAGGATCTTCGATTATAAATATTCTAGATTTGTTGGATCTTGGATTGAAGGTCTGGCTTCCCTCTAGATCTTGCTATGTGTGAACGTCTTCAAAATTTGTTAGATCCATTGGCCGATGAATATATTTCTTGTAGATTTTGGACACCATATTTTTGGTGCATCAGATTGGACATGATGTGGAATGGACAGTCTTGGATCAAAGAACTGCTCCCAAGTTTGTGAAATTATTTCCAGTTTGTACTAACAAGATGCTGGAGCAAGATAAAGGAGATGCGTAAGGTCGAGAAAGAGGAGTTATTATAGTTGTTCAGTGAATGATGACTTGTACCATACTGTTTTGCACTTTTTACCATGTTCCAGGCCCACAGTTAGCTAAGTCAGCTGAACAAAGAGACGTTGACAGATAGTTATACTTTGGTGCGACGTAGTCCTGTTTTTATTAGACAATTACTGCTAGTCTAGTACTGAGCCAGCAATGCATATGAGAAATAACTACTTACTAGTCTAGTACCGAGTCAGCAATGCATATGAGATGTGATATTTCATTAAGGCTAACACTGGTTTTGTTGATCTACCATTTCCTTGGTATGTTATTCTGTAGTCTGTAGTTATCTTCTGTAAGCTAATCTTTTCCTACATTAATCTCAAATGATCTGCCTGAGGAAATGTTTGTGCAAACAAAGTTGATTCTGAGTCCATAGTTTTTGCCCTTCTCTTTGTACAGAGAATCTGCTGCTTACAGCAGACCAGAGAACAGTTAAGCTCGTCGACCTTGGTTTAGCAAGAGAAGAGACGTTAACAGAGATGATGACCGCAGAAACAGGAACATACCGTTGGATGGCTCCTGAGGTTTGTGCTACTGCAGTTTTATATCTTTCAGTTCTTGAACCTTTTTCATTTCTTTTTTATTATGCGATTAACCTGAAATAATTCAACAGTTGTACAGCACAGTCACATTAAGGCACGGAGAAAAGAAACATTACAACCACAAAGTAGATGTTTACAGCTTTGCGATTGTGTTATGGGAACTACTACACAATAGACTACCCTTTGAGGGCATGTCTAACCTGCAAGCTGCATATGCTGCCGCTTTCAAGGTAACATTAGATTTTTAGAGTATAGTCGTACGCATTTGCTGTTTTATAGACTTTCTTGAACCTATTTATGCTGCAGGGAGTTCTGATTGTTTTGAATATGTTTTATCATGCATTATTCCATAATGCATACACCTGTGTCATATATTAGTAATTGACCTTATGAGACCTCATTTTCTGCAGAACATCAGACCAAGTGCAGATAATTTGCCGGAGGAGCTGTCAGAGATCCTAACATCCTGCTGGAAAGAAGACCCAAGCGACAGACCAAACTTCACCCAGATAGTTCAAATGCTTCTCCATTACCTCTCAACCCTTTCACCGCCAGAACATATGGCCCCGGCTCGCACATTCAGTTCGGAGAATGCAATCTTACCTCCTGAATCGCCTGGGACGAGCTCTCTAATGGCTTCTCGAGGTGATATCACGCCTAAAGGCAATATTGAAGACAAGCCAAGGGGCTTCTTTTTCTGCTTCAGCCAGTGTTATTAGCCTCACAGATGGAACAAGGGAACTCCCAAGATGATGCAAAACATCAAAAGAACACACCCATAGTCCATACCCAAAGCATGGCAGGAGTCCCTGAAAACTGTTGTTTCTGCTCATCAGGCCACCCCTTCTTCTCTGACATGTTTGAACATATCGGCAGGGTAGATCTGAGTAACCTTTTGGCTCCTGCTAGTAATGGTGAAAATAGTTACTATATCGTATATTTTCCATGAACCTTCCATATCAAAATTGCGCGCCCATCGTATAGATATAATTGGCATTAATCATTTACTCACTTGGAAAGGACACTGTGGACGACTTCCTTTGTTCCATAACTCTGTTTTCTTTTCTTTTTTGCATCATCAATGCTGCTATCTTGAGTCTGTTAAAGGCTGCGAGTGGGACTGCTAACTCGGGGGCAGAGCCAGAGAAAAAGAATAACCCCGATGCACAAAACACTGATGCAATGATATACTATTATACTCCCTCCATCCCAAAATAAGTGTTTTAACCCTAGTACAACTTTATACTAAAGTTAGTACAAAGTTAAGACATCTATTTTGAGACGGAGGGAGTAGTATGTAACTAAGCCAAAACTTTACTAATGGTAATGATTTTGGAATCTGATAACGCCCAATGCGAGGATGACACCTTTAGTTGTCAAGCATGGCAACTTTGTTTTTCAGTTTATTTTTTTTACAAAAAATTGCCGTTTGTGTCAACTTATTTTTGTGCCATGTGTATCAACTAACTTGCCATCCTTACGTCACTAGAATTGCCGTCGAAAACATTAGATTTGCCGTGTGAAGCGCCATTTGCAAACAATGGTTGGATGGTTAGAGGGACTGTGGTATCCCAGCCCATCAGGGTTCAAATCCTGGTGCTCGCATTTATTCCTGGATTTATTTCAGGATTTCCGGCGATGCGCATTCAGTGGGAGGAGACGTTCCCGTCGACGACGAGGTGCCTACAGTGACTTCGTAGATTTCAAGATGATATGCCGGCTCAGTTTTTCGGAGGTGCTCATAGGGGCAGGGTGTGCGTGTGTACGTTCATAGGGATGAGTGTATGCGCGTGTATATGAGCGCTTGTGTCTGTACTGATGTTCAAAAAAATATTAGCAAAAGAACATCACCTGACCTTGAATATTCCATAGCCTATATAATTGCCATTGTGACATCAAATTATCAAGTGAAATATAAAGTGAACAACTAAAACTAGTTTTAATTAATGAATTAATTACATTTTAAATTACACATGAACCGATCAACCACTTTCTGCTCACCACTTCTTTGAGATTTGGATGATAATTGATAATATTTTGCTTGTTTCCTTTTTCTTGGATCATATTCAATGCCTTCCTCCTAATTAATATCATATGGACTTTTTCTTGCATTGACGTTTTTGGTTTGAGAAGATACCTATCCATGTATCGCCAGTTTAACAACCCCCTGCTAAGTTTTATATTAAAGTTGCGACAAATAATATGAATCGAAGAGAATACTAAACAAATCTCATTCCCCACTTCGCAACAAGTTTGTACAACAAATTGAAAGAACTAAAAGAATTCAAATATTCGGAGGATCTAATTTTACACTGATCAGGGGAACTGAGAATTACCGTGCACTCCTGACTCCTTGTTGTATCTTGGGCAAGGACTGACCAATTGACGACCATGGCTGACCGGGTACGCGGTCCACGTCGTGGGCAACTAGGACAAGGTGCATGCTTATCCGTCGATGCTCGTTCGCCGGCCGTTCGCCATTCCCCCAGCGGCTTGCCTCGCCTCGATAGGAAGTAAAACGAACGAATACGGTGCGTCCATGATCTATCAAAATACTCCTTCTGTGTTACTCCGTCTAAAAATTAATATAAGAGCGTTTAGATTACTAAAATAATGATCTAAACGCTCTTATATCAGTTTACGGAGGGAGTAGAATATAAGATGTTTTTTTACACTATGATAAGTGTCAGAAAAATGTCTTATATTTTTTATTTTGATACAGAGAGAGTATTTTTTGAGACAGCGTGATCGATTTTTTTTTCTGAGGGAACATGATCGATTTGTTTCCGGCCTCTTGCCTGAACGGGCCCTGATTCCCACAAGGCATACACACCCTGGCCACACTAGCCTAATGGGCTTTAACGGCCACAGAAGGCGACTTCTGAGAACGGGGCAGCAGGCTGCTTCTAGCTCTAAACGCTTCTCGAGATTCTTAAAATTGTCTCAAAAACGAGATTCTTAAAAAAAGTTAGTTAGGTTATTTATATTTAAAAAATACTCCCTTCGTCTCTTTTATATAAGGTGTATTTATTTTTCCAAAAGTCAAACGAGTGCATGTCTGACCGAGTTTTAGAAAAATATATCAATATCAACAATACGAAATTTATATCATTTGATTCATCATGAAAAGCAGTTTCATATTTTATCTATTAGGTAATGCATATGGTATTATTTTATTCTAATCATGGTCAAACATTCAAATGATTGACTTGTACGGAAATCAATGCACATTATATTTTGGAACAGAGGGAGTAGTTAGTTAGGTTACCCTTCTGACAAATGGTGTCGCAACCTGAATTGTTTTGTTCGTAGATTTGTTTTCCTAAAGCATTTTATCTCTTGAATTGTGCGTGTAAATAATGAAAAAATTGCTAATCTTAGAAAGTTCATTTAAAAAGAAGTTCGTGAATTTGAGAAAATTTCACAAAAATTTAAAATAAGGAATTTGAAGAAGTTGTTGAAATATGAAAAGTTCATGAATTTGAAAAAGTTCATGCTATTATAGAAAAAGTTCACATTATTTGGAAAATTGTCCATGGATTTGGAAAAGTTCAGACCTAAAAGTATGCATTTGAAAAAAGTTCGTATATATGGAAATAGTTCGTGAATTTTCAACTTTTCATGAAAAAATAAAAAATGTTGAGAAAATAAAAAACAAAAATAAGAAAGAAAACTGAAAAAGAAAAAGAGATAAAAAAAGAAGAAACACAAAGAAAATATCTGAACAGGAAACCAAGAAAAACCCAGTATCTAAGTGGTTTTGTCACGATGACGTCACACATGTGTTTTTTTAGTTCAGTTTATATTTTGACAACATACGAATTCTTATATTATCAACAAATAATTTAGTTAAATAATATAAGTGTTCATCGTACTTTAAAAAATGTTCATGCAATGTATAAACATGTTCGCTCAATTTTTAGAAAATGTTTGTAGCATTTAGAAAAATGTATATGACATTTCAAAAATGTTCACGCATTTCAAACAATATGCACGTGACATTATTTGGAAATTGTTATATTATGTAAAAAAATATGGGTGGAATTCAAAAATAATGTTTCATACCATTCGTTACATTTTAGGAAAAAATGTTCACATATTTCAAAAATATGTTAGTGACTTTAAAAAAATGTTATACAATTTTAGAAAAAATGTTCACATAGTTTTACAAAAAATTGTATTGTCCTATAAAAGTTTCAATATGCATTCGAAAAATGTTTAACATGTATTTGGAGAGATGTTCAAAACACATATTTGAAACAATATTAATCATGTATTTGAAAAGTATTAAAAATATATGTTTTAGATGTATGTGAAAAATGTGTGATTATCATGAAGAAAATATACATGAAAATATATATTTGAAAAAATGTTAAACATCTATATGAAAAACGTTAAATGCGCATTAAAAATATTCGTTATATATACCAATTTTTTACAGTGTGCATGAAAAAATAGGTATGTGTTGGAAAAAAAGGAAAAATAATATAAAAAGGAAAAAGGAAAAATGATTTCTTTTTTGAAAAAATGATGAAGGAAACAGAAGAAAACCGGTGCAAACCGAAGAAAGAAACAAAGAAACCGATGTAAAACAGTGAAAAACCAAAAAAAAAAAAATGCAGCTACAGTATTGGATCGGCCTAGTAACAATGTATTGTAGGCTAGATCAATAACGTCTCAGTACAAGAGAGACATAACTCCCATGGTTTTTGGTGAGACCTCATGTTTCTTTCACAAAGGGTGTATAATATCTTTACTCCTATAAAAACCCAAGTTGGTGGTGATGGTGTGCCTGCCATCTTTCACTTATGGCCATCAGATCTAAATCCAACGCAGCTGGGCAATCTGTGGCAATTTTGCAAAAAACCGCCCGCCACTCCTCTGTTTGCAGATGACTCCTTGTATCTCCTGTTCAGCCCATCTCTCCCCTGCCTCATCTGTCCATCTCAGAGAAAAAAGGAAGGCCGTGGAACGATCTGGAGAGGTGTCGCGCTGCTGTTGGTGTCGGCGCTATCCACCCCAACACTCATGCCCCACCGCCGACCACCACCACGACGCCCCACCTCCTCGCCGTCTCCCCCACGGCTCCGCCCCCTTCCCAATCTTCCTAACGTCGATCTTGGCAAGTAAGCGGCCGAGTGCCGACGCCGTCCTTGCCCCGACGCCTCCACTGCCTCCTCTGTTTCTTTCAACAGCCTTACCGTCCACCCCCGTCCTCATACCCGTCTCCTCCGCGCCATCCCCGCCTCTTCCAACGCCGACCTCCGCAAGTACGCCGTCGGCTGCGCGCTGCTCATCCACGGCGGTGCCGCCACCACCTACTGCTATTCTCCCCTGATGCGCTCCACGGCTTCGTTTTGTTGTGATGGTTGAGGTGGAGGTGCTATGCTGGACTACTTCCTCTCCATCTCTAATCTCTTCCCGTCTACATGCTTTTATATACAACTTCTGGTCAGATCTCTAGCCGTCAGACCTTAACCAAGGATGGGAGTGGTGTGAGCGTATTTGCAACTTTGCTTGGCTGCCTGTAAACACTCAACTCAATGCACTATCTGGGGATGTTTTGGGAATAGAACAAGAATTGATTGTTTCTTACTTTTCATTCCATCAGTTCTTCTGTACAAATAAGATATAACCACTGAGTTTACAATGACAACCAAATAGGCTGCATTATTTAGATTATGCACAAGCGAACATATAATGGTGAATTGGTTGTAGT